TATTCGGTGTGGAAATTTCAAGACTTCAGCGAAAAGAAAAATATTTAAAAAATACGAAAACAACTGCAAAACGGCAAATTATCGGTAATTATGTTTGTAGTTTTTCAATATTTCCCTTTTAGCTAAAGTCTTGAAATTTCTACACCAAATAGAGTTTTTCAATAGCTTTAATTTGATATATAGCCCAACGTTCAGTGTTGAGTATTTCTGCTCATAACTCAGAAAAACTAAAATGCACTGGCTTCAATCCCCCCCCCTGAGTTAGCCTTCCAGTTTATTTATAGTTCAATGCCCTCATCTCAACATTCATAACTCATCCACACGTTCACATCCATCAGAAGAAGAAAATCGCATTAGAAATCGCAAAGAAAATTGCAAGTGTAAACGGGCCTTTAGAGAAAATCAAAAGGCTTGGGTTTAATTTGAAGTACTATTTAAAAAACGAGCAGGAGTGTTTTATTAGGTTTAAAGCCACGAGCGCGCAGCGCGAGTGGCTTTAGACCTAATAAAACACGACACGCGAGTTTTTTAAATGGCTTCAAAAACGTTTGCATCTTATATAAAAATCTTTATATAAAAATCTTTATATAAAACCTTTATATAGTTTGCATAACAATGGTCTTTTGTTAAAGTGTTCTTTAGCTGGTATAAAGACGTATGCACGTGACTAATTTCTTACTCAAGATTGGATAATTGCTTCATGAATTATTATCATTATTAATTTTTGAAATAAATATAAATAAATAAATAAATAAACAGACAATTCCTTTACTGTGTCTATAAGACGAACAGTTTGTCCAATGGCAATGTATACCGGAACGGACAGACGATTAATCCGGCACCACCGATTCATTTGTCTAGCCGTCTAACTTGTCATTAACATTGAAACTGGATAACAACAATAGCATCAACGACGACAACAACAAAACTTCTTTGCTAGTTTTTTTTATCTATTAAATTGTTGTAAACTTGTAATTCATTTGTAAAACACGCTGGAGACATGCGCAGATTCAGAGGTAGGTGCATTTATCCACGAGTTAGCAATCCACTTCTCTCCTCTCAACACATCACACCCCCCGTGAATGGTATGGTAATCCAAGTCTCCTAGCCAACCTGACCGGGGGTCCACTTCGTGATTATACCACATTATAGCTGTGCCTTTCCTTGCGGGAATGAGCAGGTTTGAAGTATGACATCGTTTGCTGAGATTGAACATTTTGTTTAAGGATTTTAGATACTATATCAGAACAAACAAAAATAATAAAATTTACATTACAATATAAGTACAATGAAAATATAGAACAGAATGTCTATTAGTGTTAGTTAATGTAGGGACTCACAGTTACAGCAGGCACTGTCAGCAGCAAATTTCCTACCTCTTAATCTCGTAAGGCAGTCATCTTTTATTTCAAAATTTCGTGTCAGTGCTGTTTTTGAATAGCTGGAGGGTTAGTGTCGTACCTTACTATGTGACTACTCACCCTGCAGCTATTCAAAAACAGCATTGCCACTCAAGGAAAGCGTCTCAGATTGAACCTCCACTCTTTGAATGTGAGTGAGCTTTTAGATTGGGTTTAGTATTGCCCATGATCAAATTCTGCCCGCCAATCTAATGGCGATGCCTGCAGAGGGGCTAGGCTAATTTAAAAGTGTTGTAAAAGTGTTGTAGAATTGCTGAGGCTGTGTTGCTTTACGACTGTGTTACCTTGACATCCAATGTTGTATTGTCCGCAACAAGAAAAGCAGTTTCGCCTCCTTCGTCCACATCATTGAGATAATACAACACTGTCAAAATCCTGAAACAAATTCAGGTGTCAATATTGCTACATCCAGTAACGATCCAGTGATCGGACTGTGCCATTGCATGCAAATTCACGCCATTGTTTTGAAAATATCCCACTGTTCTCCATGCTCTCCTGTCACACATTGTTTCGACCAGAAAAGTAGAAAGCGAGGGGGGGGGGGAGAGCAGGAGCGTGAAATCCCTCCCTCCCGAATGTAAAGTGAGGGGTGGAATAGGTTTTGAATTTGATCCCCCTAGAATAATTCCTACGGCCTTGATATTGACATTACGTCCAAAGGGCCTATGTCAATATGTCATACTAAAGTCCAGTTAACCGAATGACTCAAGCTGTTTGCATTAGGTTCAGGACATGAAAACGTTCGACATTTGAGTTAACCAAGACCAAATGGCAATTGCTAGATAGTATACTTCAAAATAAGATTTCCGTTTTTATTCTATTTTTAAAATAAGTTAGGGTTAGGTTAGGGTTTAGGTTAGGGTTAGGTTGGAGTTAGGGTTAGGTTTAGTATTAGGGTTAGGGTTTAGTTTTGCGTTAGGATAGTTTTTTCTACGTTATAAAAACGGAAACCTTATTTTGAAGTATACTATCTAGCAATCACCCAAGACAAATACTTGGTCATATTCATTTGCATCAACTTCGTAATAATCACATAAAGTTTCCTACTCACCTACACAATTTACATTCTTTATGTCGGTCGTGATTTTGATGACAACAAACGACATTTTTACCAAAGTCTTCTGGCGTTGAATCATAATGAGCATGATAATGACCACGAATGTTATATCTTACAATCTAGTAATTAAAAAGTTATAAACTGATCATTAACAAACCCCTTGCCTCGTTTACGTTTTGCTAGCAGCAAATATAATATAGACAAGATATATGCTCTGAAAGTTGATGAGAGTTGAGAAACGGGAGTTTGCATGAGGCTGAGAATTTTCTCAACTCTCATGCCCCGGTTAAACTGGCGAAATTTAAACAAAAGTTGCATGAGAGTTGATGAGAGTTGACTGCATGAATATTACCGCACGCCGCGAAAACTCTTATCAAATTTCACTAAAATTTGAACTAGTTCAAAGTTGATATTGAGAGTCGATGAGAGTTCCTTGTGTGACAGGGGCTTGTGAGGATTTAGCAATGCCAAACCACAAAAGCTACGGGGCTGGTTCAAAGAAAATTTGTCCAGCATGCAAAACATAAACAAATAGTTAAAGGTCTATTTCACTGTCCCTAAACTAAAGGGCAATATTCCCAATGGGAATAGCTTTATTGGGTGAACAATTTTACCCAACCTACTTTGCATGCAACTTCATTTGAATTTCAAAAATGTACTTAGTGCATCGTGTTTTGCAAATACTGTAATTCGAAAACGCGAGCAGAGTTGTTGGAAGGTTAAACTGTACGCATAAAGGCGAATTTATAAGAAGTTATTAGAAGTGAGATGAATGTTCCTGTAGAACGTTGGACTTTTGGTTATTTGATAAATAGAAGCATAAAGCCTTCAGAAATGAGCTGTAAATGGGTCAGAAGCGACAGCCAAGCGTCGTATCGTCAGGATTTTTTAACCGAACGGAGTTTACAGTGCCAGGTAAGTTATATGTGAGCTTTCAATCAGTGACAGTGGCGTTGATTTTGAGCTTACTTGGACGTCTTCACTTCCGTCGACCAATTTCCGTGGCAACTGAGTCAGCCGAATAATTCTAAAAGGAAATGATTTCTTGTATTGAAATTGAGCAGGTGATCTCGCCATGTAGAATTTGTAACATCGACAATGACATCATCATCAACAACAACACAACACAACAACAATTAACAGCAACAACAACGACGACGAGAAAACAATGATGAGGACAACGAGAACACAGCGATGGCAACAACAATAACAAAGATAGCAATACTGACCTACAATGACAACAGCGTCAACAGCAGCAGTAACAACGGCAACAACATTACAACATTTAATAATGTCAACAACAACAACAACAACAACAAATACAACGACGACAACAACGCCGAAAAAACAACGCCAACGAAAACTGCAATAACATCAACCACTACTTGTCTTTGCTAACCTGTCGTAAACTTTTGTTAAAACTGGATCTTTTTGTTTCTGTTCAGTAAGCCATGTGTGCTCGCTGTATCTTGGCCGATGGAATGGATGTTTGGAATGGACGAAATTAAGATACGCATCAAGTTTGTTGAAGGGAAGTAAGTTAAATTCATCTTCATTTATTCTTCCTGAAGGTATGGAAATATGAATGCAATGAGAATGACTTTTAAATCGTTAATTTAAGACATTTAATGTCTCACGTAGATCAGCGAATAGCATGAGATGCAATTGCGCAAATGGCTTAAAAGGTTCTAAAGGTGAGATTAAACTACTAGATCAACAAGACGATTTGTCCTTGGGACCTCTGTTGATCGTGAAAAAAACCGGCATGTGAAATACAGTAAATCATACCATCGTCAAAAAGCGAATAGTTGATCTTTGAAAACCTGAAAGAAATGAAAAGCAATTTTTAAAGGTTTTCGTATACTGCTATTCCCAAATGACTTAGAAAGATTAGGGTCAGGTAAGGGGCGAGGGTTTATTTAAGTGTAAAAACCGCTGCATTGAAGTCATCGAGGTGAAGATATTTGTGGCGAACTTTATACTTACATATCCGTGATTTCATTCTCGCTGAAAAATAATCCATTACTTCGTTCACACATTTCCTTAACCTACGTAACAAAATAGAAGCTCTTAGTTTTACAAAACACTTCAATTTAAAAATATTTGCTGGCCAGTAACTAAAAGTACGTACTATAATGAAAACTTTATTGGTACAAAAATTTTCATCCTTGCGTATGCACAATAAATAATGATTAATGGTAATTGAACTGTGTGGATTGGGAGAAATCAGTTTTTTCACATGCATCAATCAAGCAGTTGTCTAATAGTCAGAAGTTACCTCATCCATGGTAATGAAGGAATCTCCATTTCTGTCCCATTCGTAGAAATGATCGACAAACTCGGGAAGATGAAGTGCGTAGTTCTCGTTTTCTAACATGAAAAGAAGAAGAGCATTTTAATAGGAAACAAATTGATCTTTAAGAAAATTTACCTAAGCAATAAGATTGAGGAATATTTTCAATTTTTCACACACAGTTTATGTTGAGGAAGTAGTCCTCACTTCTGTATGTTTCACTGTAAAATTTTGTTCAATGTACATATCGAAGATTATATTTTGTTTTGTTATGTACGGACAGAAATATATGATAATATGAATGGTGAAGGGGGGGGGCGGGGCAATTTTTATCTTTCTCACATACTTTATGCATGGAAGAGAAAATCCTATTTACCTATCATTTAAGATGATAATAGTAAAGACCATGTTTTGTACGGTCAAATTTTCTATTCTTTGAGGCACATATTGTTCACACTGGGTTAAGAATACTATAGAAGATCTAGAGTAAGATCAATCTTAGGTTGGGCCACAACCTTACATAGTTTTGAGGTGTTTAAAAAACGCAATTAAGTAGAGATAAATAGTTCTCTCCGGTTCTTTGAAAGGTCCTCTGTTCTGCCTTCTATCTTCGCTAAAATATGTTAGTCGGAGCACTTATACATTGTAATAATGAGTGTCGGGTTTGAATGAATTTCTCCAGTCGGCATTCAATATGTCATTGAATTATGCTCAACGTTCAGATCAGAAAATCAGAGTCTTCTTGCGCCGTCAAATTTTCCATGGTTGACCAGGAAGATTCCAACCTCGTACTCAGGGTCTTACCTATGGGTATGCGAAGGTAAAAACCTGGGTACGAGGTTGGGAAAATTCGGAACACGAAAAGCATTAAGAATGTTTATATCAAATGCCTTACCTGATTGTTTTAGGGCGTCTTCTATTTCTCCTTTGTAAGCTTGCTCTTCGAATCCTGCGACACTTTCTCTCAATCCATTTTTCTTCGCCAGATTTTGAATATGCTCACATTCCGAGTCAGTCAGAAAGTTGGGAATTTCTAAGATAGACAACATAGAAAGATCAAGTTAATGAAATGATTTTTCATGGTTATCTTTGTGTTAAATATATGCACATTTACCAAAGATGGTCGGTTTCATCGCGATTGTTGTAACACGGTAATTTTTATCATCACCATCAAGATGTAGATTCCTGTGATAACCAACCTAGAACAGCGGAAAAAATTCATTTGGATTTTAGTCTTCAAAGTCAGAAATATTGTATAGTCATACTCTAACTGTAGCTCTCTACGAGATTGTGCCTGAAAAACGCAATGAAGTAAAAGCATTCACTGATTTTTTAAAGTATATAGCTATAGTGTAGTTTAGTGTATGTCGTCTCCCGTCTAGCATGGTTTAGTGTACTGATTATAATTTCTTCTAAACTAAACCAAATCATCACTGAAACTAAACCAATCCAAACTAAATTAGCTCTAACAACTAAAGTGACTAATTTCTCGCACAACTAAGTAACAGACACTTCGGTGCTGTTACATCACTCTTCACGAAAAAAGCGGACTACTGCGGGACTGGTCGGAGAAAAGCCGCAGTGTTTGATTCAAACTGGAAGTACTCTTCTCACATGAGGTTGGACTTTGTAAAATAATTGCATCAGGATTGAAAGGAACAGTCCCTGTAGGCTTGCACCAATGTCTCTCTTGACGAGGTGTAACTACTATACCTCCGACACTCCATCCCAATTTCTATACCATAAAAAGTTGCTCAAGACCTAAGCGTATATATATCTATATACAGTATCATATCTTTCAATTTTCCACTTACCCTTACACCTTCTATTTTAAGCAGTTTACCGTCGTTTCTTTGTTCGTAAAAACACGGACCATCGTTGTAATACGAACTTTGTACCGCAGGAAATCTGTCGAGCAGTATCACGCATAACACAATACACGTCGCGGGCAACATAACTATGTTTCAAGGAGTCCACTAGAGTTTTTGATTCAAATTTAAAGAAGTTAAGTGTTTTAGAGATTATATGTATGCGTTGGATACCCGATCTTTGTACCTTTTAACCGTTTTCTGGTTGTCAAATTCTTGTGCAGATTTAATGATATGCAACAATTGTTTTCGACACGTGGTGAGTATCTAATTTGAAATTCAAATTGCGGAACATCAAGAGTTGAAGACATTGACTTCGTTGTTATATGCAGGTATCAGGGAATTGTTGCGGTAGCAGCCTCATGTTTCGCCGTGCACGAATATAGGGTTGTAGAAATCTTTTGAACTGACAAACACGAGTTCTTCACGTTCGCATTTTTCACTATATTGGTCCAGTCTTTGTTCTATACCGACCTAAAATAAATTCTCGTTTCCCGGACGAAGATTACCAACAATCACGGCTCACGACTAGGCATGTAGGCTTCACATTTCACGACTGAGAACAAATATATCGGCAATTCACGGCTCACGAAATACCCTTTACCACCCTCAGTGCATAGCAGTTACGCTGGTCCTCGTGTTTCGCATATGAATCTGAGTGTTTTGGATGTAACAATTCTACTGCATGAATGTGTTTTCCTGAATTTTACTAAGTATATCGGTTGATTTAAAATACGTTTTTTCAGTGTTGAGCTTCCTGTGGTGAAATTAGTTTGACGGATAGCCTAAAAATAGGCTAATGGGTTAAGAAAGGTATTAAATACTCAACATGGAAAATAAACTTTACACAGTTAAGACTGAACTAGCCTGTGTCACAAAGTAAACTTCAAAAAAGGTATTACTATATGTATATTTGCAGTGACTGAAGTTTTCAATATATCCATTAATTATACTGAATTTATTAAAAAAGCCACCTTGCAGCTAGAAATCATAACAACCAAGACAGGGACATTTCGAACATGTTAACATGAGGCGTAAGCCCAGAAAACGGTGCCGAACTTTGCTAGATCATTTATATGTAATTGAAAGAGTATTTTTGTTACATCATTTTGTTAAAGATATACTAATGCTACAAATGTTTCAAAAGTTTTGCAAATTATTGCTATTAATAATGTAATACACTGCGCTATGCCCGGCAGTTTACAAAATTCGACATCTAAGGGCGTTTTCCATTTACACTGCTAGACTGCAGATCGGTGAAATTCATTAAAAAAATGAAATACATTTAATTTATATTCAATTTTTTACTATTTAGACAAATAGCAAAGAAACTTTATAAATAATTTGCATTTTTGAACCAACAACTTGGCCCAGACTCGGCAATCAACAATAGAGACGGAATTTCTTGTCTGACCAGTCAGACTGTGTAATTGCTTATGCCCACTTTAAAACTACAATCATGATTATAAATTGCAAAAATAACTAATCAAACGATTAAGATTAACCCAACATCTCAAACTGATAAAAAGTTTCCCATTAAACCAACGATAATCCACTTACAATAATAACAAAAAATGTTTGACAGTGCAACACAAACTCACTTCGTTCCTAATTCAGGACTTGTCTGAGAAGCTGTAAAATTTCTGCAGCTTTTGAAATCGCATCATCAGCATCTTCCTGACTAAACATCTCGGCCGGAATGGAAGTTTGGACGAAACCTCTTTGATAGTGAGGATAGCGGGTGTTGGTATAATATCCCTGTATACGCGCAACCATTCCCGAAATCGCCCGAAGACGTGGATCTAGCCCCGATGCTCGATATGCTAATGTCATCACTTCATGAACTTCTAGGTCACCCTTTTTAAGACGACCTTTCGCAAACATGAGAGCTTTCAGAGCTTTTTCAACAGCTTGTTGACATTGGAAACAGGCCAAGGAATAATGTTTGCTCCGGAACAAGCATCGAGCTGCATCAAGATCATCCTGAGCTTGCCGCATCCATCGTTCAGCTTCGTTCTTATTAGCTGGTTCATTTTCGTTATTCGCGTCTCGCCGCTGGCGATAATGTTGTTGTTGTTGTCGTCGTCTTCTTCGTCCACGGTATCTAGTGAAAAATTCATCGAAGTCAGGAGCATCCCGCCAAGTGGATCCAGTTGATGGTCCTCTGGAAGATTGATTTGAATTGTCTGCTTCAGGACGGTAGCCAGGTACTCCACCCTTTTTCAAACGTTCCACCTCATTGAACAAGAATTTTGTTACCTCGTTAGCGAAGGACTCACGATGTTTATTTTTGTCAGGATGCCATCGTCGGATCAAACGTTTTATAGCACTCGATCTTTCCGACTCTGGAAGTTCCCAAATCTCTTTCAGCGCTTCTGCGACCTCTCTTTTCGCTTCTTCGAGCGTTGCTGGCTCACGAGAAGCGGTTCCTTCACTAGAATCGCCAGTTTCATCTTTGGGACCTTCATAAGGCACCAGACACATCGTTTCGTTTTTCGAACTGGTAGCTCCTCCAGTGGTTCGTTCTTCACGATCAAACTTGTAAAGTTTCAGCTTGCTAACTTCAACCGGCTCTTCCTCGCCAATATCAATCAGGTATTTGCTATTAAATGCGAATGTACCATCACCTAAAAAATATCATTAATTAATATCCTTTTATAAAAGTAGAAGTTCGTGATAAATCCGACTACGATGTACTGGAACTTTAGAGTTCAAATATACTTCAACCAGCCCAGCATTTGGCTGGATTAGTTACAAAGGACCGTAAAGGCTGATTTCCACTGTTGCGTTTTTGTACGCACGTAAAACTTTGAATTCTTCTATTTTTCAAACATTTTACAAATAAGTTAACAAATGCATATATACTAAAACTTGCAGAACACTGAATTCTGTTGCTTTGTTTATTTGCTATGTAACACCGGATTTAAAGTTTTACGTGCGTATACGTACGAATGAAAAACGCAACAGTGGAAATCAGCCTTAAGCAAGCAAAGACGGCAGCAACGTGACGGACGACTGCTATTATACAATGAAATTCATAATATTGTAGAAATTAGAAAAGAAATTACAAATCCTACAGGAGCTTTAGGTGCCGTCCTCACTCTGTTTACAACGGGAAGCCACAGATTTTACACAGATAATACACGACACTTTTTCTTTACAATAATTAATTTCAACAAGATCGGTGGTATTGGCCGTCGTCGTCGCGTGGCCGTACTTCATGTTTAAGGTTTCTACAGATCGGATGCGAATGTTTTATATTATTTAAAATATAGATGTATGCAAGTATAATCAAATTTTACAATTATGTTGGCGATACGGTTCGTTTTAGCCGAGAAAATCAATATGTAAAGCAGGACAAAATTAAGGATTATTATTAGGATTATTTAATATTCAGTAACCGAAAATATTTTAACAAACAATATAACCCGCAAATAGCAATAGCTAATCTAGGCGGTGTTATAATAATAATGATAAATAAAAATAATAATAATAATAATAATAACAGTATATATCTTAAATAATAATCTTCAATTTGTTTTCAATCTATCACGCAACACAACAAGGATCACTCAGACAATCTTTGTATAATCATCGATATCTCAGGATAGTCCTTCTCATTTACCAGAATCCGGAGAAGTAAGTCATGAATCTTTTTAGAAAACATTTTTCTTCCTAAATTACGTATATATAACGGAACGTTGTTCCACACTTTAGCACCAATTCTAGAAAAAGCATTTTTTTGTTGATTCGTACGAGAATATTTTTTATAGTAATTGCCGGCTGTTGAGGATCTGGTAAAATAGGAATGCACATTAGAAGTTTGAGTAAATAAATCAGAAATATTTTCTGGTATCAATTCATTAGTAACGTCATACATTAATTTGGAAACATATTCAACATAGAGCATACTTATTGGTAAATTATTAGTATTGTTAAACAGTGGAATAGAATGATCTCGGTTTTTAGAAAAATGCATTAACCGAAGAACTCGTTTTTGAAGTATGAGAAGTTTTTTTAATTCTTTTTGTGCAGCGTTTCCCCAAGCTGTTAAACCATAAGATAAATAAGGATATATTAAAGAACGATAGATTTTTGTCAGGGTTTGAAAAGGCACGAAGTGCCGAAGCCTGGCGATAAGTCCAATTGTTTTGCTTATTTTAGACGCTACATAACTGATATGATCTTTCCATAAGTTAGCATCAAGTAAAATGCCTAGGTATTTGACATACTCCTTGCGTTCAAGAGATATGTATTTGTTGTCTTTTTTGTCAAATATTTTTATATTTATTTGATAATTTAGCTTTTTTTGAGGAAGGTGGAAAATAACAAAGTTTGATTTTTTTATATTCAGAGTTAATTTATTTGCATAATCTGTACCCGATTTACAGATATTGATTAGATGTCCATTTCTTTTGAATTTTCGTCAAAGCACCAAAGAACAAAAAAGGATGACATTTAAAATTTTGAATTAAACAGCGATTATTATAAGTAATAACATGACTAGAGGGAAATTAGCGATTAAATTTCCCGACGCCGAGGGAAGATTTATGATAGTCCGAGGGCGAAGCCCGAGGACTTTCACAAATCTTCCCGAGGCGAAGGGAAATTTAATCGCTAATTTCCCGACTAGTCATGTTATTAGTTTGTAATATTATGATCGCCGAGGAAAACTCAAAAAAGTTTGCTGCAGAGATAAGTTTAGCTGTTTGATTTTGTATTTTTCAATGAAGTTGTTTATGAGTTTGACTATTGATTGAAATAAGTGTACCTTTGGGACATGCTTTGTTGTTGTGAGACTTATGTAAATCATTGCATTGATTTTAAACTTAGTTTTCGGATATAGCTGCAACTGGAAGGTTCTATTTTGTGTCAGACCGGACAGTTGAAAATGTTCGAAAAGATAGAGTGCCAAAGAATACCATAAGGCACACTACGTGGAGTAAAAATGTGTACAACGCGTGGGTTAAAGAAAGGAACGAGCAGTTTAAAGATTTTCAGGCAGAAAGAAACGAATTTCAAGGAGCCACTGCTAGTCACGTAAATATAAACATAAATATAAACGGACGTTGATAGCATGAATTTTACAGTTGGTCTTGAGTTGGAGTTTGACGTTTAATTGTTTAGCAAAGTCATACTTGTGTACATTTAAAATTTAATATGTTGAATAAAATTGTTGAGTGTTTTAGGTTTTCCGTTTGCATTAAATATGGAAGCGGGAAATTTAGTACAAGACAAAGGATTTCTTTGTCTACTAATCATCCCGTGCATTTTTGATGAGGGAAGATTAGTAGACAAAGAAATCTTTTGTTTTTTACTAAATTTCCCGGGGAAATTTAGTAGACAAAGCGAACTATTCCCTGTTGCATGCGTAATGAGGAAAATACGGGATTTAAATTCCCTATGAGAACAATAGAAAACGAGGTGATCATGATATTAGAGGCATGTTAAACAACAATGGAGCGCTGAGAAACTTTATAGCTTATCTGCAAAAATGCATCGTATTTTAGTTTCTGTGAGCTAAATGTTGTTAAAAAAGAGATTATTAACACAGTGAGTACTAAACTACCTGACCTAGAGGCACTACTAATGAGTCCTTGTATATCATATAAAGATCGGCTGCTCATGTTTTAACAAGTACTTATTCAACATTATAGACCAATAAACACATACCCTGGCATGTTTGTTCAATGATCTTGGCGTACACATACACCGCGTCATTTTCTTCATCTTCTTCTCTTAATTCATATCCAACCCATTCACCTTCTCGGAGATGGTGACTTATATCGTTTTTCAAAAGATCGTGGAAATGTTCAGGAATTATATCTCCCGGGTTTGGTTCTCTGGAAAAACTGCTGATACTCTGTGGTACCCGAGCATCATCCAATGTCTTCGATATTTCGCTGGGGTCCTTCACACCAAGGATCATCATCAGATAACGCCACTTAGCTTCGGCTATGTGTTGCCCAGTGATCCGGGAAATAAACGAACTTAATCTGTCGTGTAATACATCGCGGTTTCCCTCCCCGCCGTGTTTAATTAGAATACAAAAACCATTAGGAGTTTTTTGGCAGAAAGTAGAAACTTCCGACACGCTGTCTGGAACTGGTTCCATAGTTGCCCTTGTAACAAGCTGCACTTCAACAGTCTGCATGCATGAAACTTTGACATCTTTCTCAAGACTTCTAAGATCATTTTCTACCTGCACTGGAATCCTGATTTTTTCTTCTTGGAACTTGTACAATCTTACCAGGGCCTCACTGAATTGCGGAGAACAGATAATGTCGCGATATCTTTTGATGAAGTCACAAGACTGTGCAGTTGAATCTTGATCAAGAATACAAATCTTGTCGATGCAACTTGGACTTAACTCTTCATTTAGTTTAGAACTTAACTTTTTCACTTTCAAATCACTCGGCAAAAGTTCGACCAGTTTTGCAGGAGGTTCCTGATCCTTCATGGTCAAATCAATGAGCAACTCCTTCCAATAATCTTTCAACCGTTCTTTCTTTTCCATTGTGTCATTGACAAAAACCTCACACGATGGTATCAGATAATTATCTTCGGTCGGGAGATAAAGCGTTCGAACATTTGCCAGGGATTGTGCTGCATTCGGGGCAGAACTTCCACGTGTTTGAGAACGCTTCTTATCTTTGCTTAAGCATATGAACAAACTTTTCGTGGCCTGCACTGCTGCAGGAATCTCTGCCGGATGCATTTGATTATCCCCACAACTTTTCTTGATTGTTTCTAGCACTGATGAATATTGTAGTGGCGTTGGGAGCTCCTGAGCTCCAAGGCATTTTAGGAAGTGTTCGAACTGTTGAAGATGACGGGGAATTTTAAACATGTATGGGTTCATGCTGTTCCATACTCTATCAAATGCTAGTTGGCTACCGCGTACGAATGTATGCCGATCTACCAATATCATGGGAATATTGTGAAGGGCTTCACTTGTTAACAGACAATTAGATGAACAATTTGCATCGGGTGGACCATCCTTTAGCTGGCAAGATGCACTAAAATATTTGTATATCGTTGTCATAACCTCAGAAAGAATTTTTTGCAATGTCGAGGGAACTTCTTTCTTATTCGTCGCAGGAAAACAAGCAGAAATGTTCCTGACATGCGAGATGACATGTTTGTGTGGAGGACTGGTGTGTACTCCAAGCATTTGATCCAAATTTCCTCTACGGTAGGACAATGCTGAAGTTGCTATTAAAGATGCACTTGACCATACCATGGCTGTATGCGTTTCACTCACGGAGCCACTAAAACACGTGAGAATAGATTTTGTATGTGAAGGGTGGATAGCAAGGTACAACTCCATTATCTTGGCTGCAGGAACAAATCTGATACTTGAAATCTGGGACAGGAATTGTGGTGTGTGTAATTTCTTGTTTCCAAACAAATGCGAAACCAAAATACTCGATTTCCGCAAGATTTCTTTCCCCTCATCTGAAGTTGAATGTGGGACATTGCAAGCTTCTTCCTCCAATTGTTTGGCATACTGTAAGAAATTATCTTTGTTGACGGTATGCTGGAGGCCAACTTTCTTTAGAAATCCTCTCCACTCGGTGGAATCAAACGGCTTTGGAGGAAATTTCCACTTTGGTACAAATTTTTTGAAAACTTCATTATCTGGATCATAATACTCATTGGCTGGACGAAGAATGTCTGAATGATCGGGAATAAAGGACAACTGTTTCATAACAGATAAGACAGCTTCATAACCATCATAAGAGTAATTCAAAAGGTGATCTCTGACATATACTAAATGGCTTTCTCTTCCTTTGGGTGTTAGATGGTTGAAATACTTCAGAACTATACGTATGTAGAACTCCGCAGAAGAAGCTGGTTTGATTCCAATGTATTGGTAAAGCTCTACAAGCTTAGGAACATGGCGTAAGAAAATACAGTTCGTTACTGTGGAAAGAACTTGAAGTTCTTCCCCAGGAACACTAGCTGGTACGTCGTACACTGTATTGCCACTAGAAAGCCGTGTGTAAGTGCTGTTGATGGTTTGGTAAAATGGAAGATTTCGCAGACGTGGGTGTGACAGCCTGGAAAGGTCACCTTGTAGAAACATGAGGAGTCGTTCAATTTCGTGATCCTCAAGTGTAACTCCCGTGCCGCCGTTCACAGTCTGGTCCAACAGTCCCAGAACGTCCTCCGTCGACTGAACCGTTGCAAGGTAATGCTTGCGTACTGCGGTAGCACCAGTAGAATTTGAGGATCTGGAAGATGAAGAGATCAAAATTGTGTGGTTTAACTCTGGACAGCCAACTTTCACCAACAGCCGTCGTATCATTTTGTCATAAGTTGTATCACTGTTGAGATATGTGCTTACATTGAGAACTGTTTTCCCCAAGAAAACTGGAACGAGACAGTTATGTGTGGTCGGGATTATATGCCAACTCACAATTTCCTTCAGGTTGATTTGACTTTCTTTTTTACTGGATATAGCGTCAATAAACTCCCAGAGTAATATTAACCATTCTTTCGATGGAAATATGTTGCCTTGCTCGACTGGATTCCACGGTTGGTGGGAAGCGGTGTTAATCCACGATGATGGGAAAAGAATAGTCTGAAATTTGGCAAGATCTGGTATACGAAATATTCTCATAACATTGGAACACTTTTCTATGCCTCTTCCATAAAGACTTCGAAGCGAATCGTGCAGGAAAAGATCAGGTCTGGAAGGCAACAGCTGACTGAACCTGCTACAAAAAACAACGAGATCTTGACGGAAGCAACGAAGTATGCCATCTTGTGTGAGAAGCAAAGGAAGGCCTTCGAGACTTTCGAGAAAGTGCTCAGCTTTAGCACAATACTTAGTGAGTTCACAAACATTGTTAATGTGATGAACAACAGTGTCCTCGATCTTCTTAGGTAAATTATCTTTCATTTTCCTGTGGTTCTGGAGGAATTCCCGTACTTGTTGTGGACTCACATCTTTGTAACATTCGACTGCTTTGAAACTCTCGTGAATTGCCATCGGAGTGTGTGAAAGAAGGCGGAATCCTATGTCCAGCAGCGTCTTCTGGAGCAACCAAGACATTTCAGATGCACAAAAGTAGGCATCGCTGACCTTACACCACGTGACATCAACAGGAGTCAGATCAGAAGAAGAAGATGAATATAATCTTTCTATATCGGACTTCTTGCTATCCGGAACTGACATGGCGACAGGCAAAACTGAAAGCACCGACAAGAAATTCCTATAAAGTGATTCTCCAATAGGCTTCCATGCTGTATCGAGAACTGCAATGGATGGAAACAACTGATGGTACCATCTGAGGCTATCCTCAGTTTTCTTCTTGGATAAAAATATGCCAGAAGTCTTGGATTCAGCTTGATACCCAATGATGTGCACTCTAGCGTGATAAATTGTAAGGGCATAGGCTGGTGCAATTACTTGGCGTTTCATGAAGTCATTCCAAACAGCTCGTTCATCCGAACATTTAGGGTCAGGCCACAGACCACGACGTGCCGAGTCCAGTGCGAAGTGACCATTGATATGAGCGGGAAATCTCGTGAAAACTGGAAGTGGAAGTACACAAAATACGGAATGTCGGAATGGAGAATTTCGAGATTGAGTTGAGGGTAAGCGGATGGCAATTCCAGCCCGCGGTAGCAATCCCATTCTAGTACCATTTGGGACTTGCGAGTCATTGTTTACATTAATATACCCCAAGCTCTGTGAGACCAACCAATTCATTTTTACGTTCTTCGTATCAGATATCTTCATAACATAATGAGCCTGTTGCCAGTGGATTTGTTGAGTTGGTAGTTTACTACATGCTCTGATCTTTTCAAAGAATTCAGCTCGTTTGCCATCATCAGAAACTTCACACATCACAGAATAAGTTTCAAGTTCTCCATTTTTTATTTCGGAAACAGAGATTTTGGTAACATTGTTCAGAAACAGCAGCATGTCTTTGGCGGTTGCACGAAATAAATCAAACAGCTCTTTCACTTTTCTTTCATCCCACTGGACAGTAGAAATCTTAAACGGAAGCTTTGCATTACAACGAAGTGGAAAACGGAACATCGTACTTCCTTTAAGATTAAAAAGATCACCCAAAAAACCAGATAGAACATCCCGGTAATTTCTTCGGAACATTTTGGTAAGCTGGTTGAATAACCGTCCAGGATTCCTTTCACTCGCACCAGGAACATATGCTGTATACGGGTCAGAAACACAAATGACTTCATCATTGGTAATGAAGTATGGGCAATCAGTAAGATGGTAGACTGCATTAAATCCAATGCCATACTGTCCAGTTTTCATAGGGTCGTCCACTTTGCTTCCGATACCAAGCTTCTGGATACCTTCAATATCTTCTTTGGAGAATGGCTTGTCGTTGTAGACACAAATCGCAGGGCCTTGAAGGTCTTTCCACTCATTAGAGAAAACGCGTTCACTTTCGTGTGTTCGGGGATCAAACACAAAATGTATTTCGTTGGCTTTTGCATCATCCGCGTTTTGAAGAAGTTCCTTCAATATTCCCTCGTCAGAAGGATAGGCTTTCAGGATGTTCTTTAAACGATCAGTTAGTTTCTCATGCTGTCCAAATGGCTGACCAATAGGTTCAGAGCAGCGAGTTATATCTGCGTTTCTAATCTCCTTTGCACCACATCTGTACGCTAAAATTACCGGAACCTTCTCATGTACAAGTTTATTCATGCCATCCGTCTCTAGCCAAGGGGAGGTGTTAATTACAAGTTCATCTGCGTCATACAGCCGACAGTCCCCACTTGGAAGGGGCAATGTAATTTCAAGCTTCGTGTTGGGTGAGCGAAATACTTGTTCAATAAGAACAATAAGGGTACGGACTTTGTTCTCCACCAGTTTCTTGCGACCAGTGTCTTCTCTAAGCTTTAATATTGCTTCGATAAAATCCTCCTGGGAAAAGTTGTCCTTTACGCCGTACCAACGGACGAGGCCTGTGAATTTCGTATTGTAACAAGGAGGCAAGGAAAACAGATATGGTGATCCATCATCATTGTTCCAGTTTTTTGCCACTAGTCTTGGATCCACCATTTGATTCTTAACAAGCATCCACTGTCGGTATTCAAGCTGTTCGCGAAGAAAAGATTGCTTGGACTTGTCAGTGGTTACAATCTTTTGAAAGAAGTCATATATTGCCATACATGCACATTCTTTCTTTTCTCTGGTGAGCAAACGAGACTGCTGGATGACTTGATCAAGTTGTGCTATGACATCTGATAATTCAGGTTGCTTTGAAGAAAACCCAAGGATTTTTTTGAGATAATTGTTTGGCACGATTGAACTATTAGATGATTCATCTAGGATGAGTTGAGAGGAACCAACAAGGTGTTTATGTCGTTCGGGGTAGAGATGGTCGGCGGCAGCTAAATGCATCGTTTGGTACTTGTCAGACTTCCAGGGAAATGGGTAGTCTTTTGGCTTTGGCAAAATGGGAAGGAACTGAGCAATTCGTAGAATTTTTGTTTCCGCGGGGATTATTTCACATCCTGAAGGCATTTGATTCATGTATTGAATGAGATGTCCTGCTCTGTTGACATCGCAATTTTTGGAAACCCATTCAGCTCTCTCACACAAAGCACACCATGGAAGATCGTCAATGGCCATTCTCAATTCTCCCAACATCAATGACCGTTCTTTCTCTAGAAAACGATTGTCCAACGGAAATCGCTTCTCTTCTTCGGAAAACAAGCAGGCAGCTTTCCCTTTAGGATGGACCAGTTCGCTTGGTTTGCGCAGCCACATTCCATCCTCAGAACAGCTGAAACTTGGATAGGCCCGTAAAAGATCATCATAGGTTCGATGCTTGCTTAGTCGACGGTCCAGGATGTGAACAAGAACTGAGTTACGAAGTTGGTTTGGTATCTGTGAAATTCTAGGAAAAAAGAATTCTCTCAAGAATCTATCTTCAGTCAGCATGTAACTCTTGATAAAGGCTTCTTTCCCGCTAGATTTGAAGGCTTCCATGAAGTCTTGGGGAAGCAAAAGGACATTTTCATCAAGTAGATTCATAATGGTGACGCATTCAGCAACCTTGTTAAGTTTTGGATCAAGAATAAGACAATCTTGAAGTTTTCTCCAATTTTTGTTGCAATAAAATAGCGACCACTCCTCGTCGATGATTTTGTTGAAGAATGAGTAAAGAAACGGTTTCCACGCTTTTGGGTAGTTCACTTTTGTCGGGTTAGGCCAAAGACTGTGGAACTTGTACTGCTTATCATTGTAAGACGTAAGTATTTGTAGCAGCTGAAGATAAGCCTTCACTAACGAATCTTCCATTAAAGCTTCGTTCCACTTCACTTCAAATGGTTTTAACGACTGATGCTCACCCACACCTTCTTCCCACAAACGCCGCCGATTTGAATAAACCGAGAAAAAGCCGTTGACATGCACGGGAAACCCAGACTCGATGGACAATGGCATAAAGCAGAATACTTCTCCAAGTATGGGGAAAATTTTTGCACCATGTATACTTGAATGCGTCAATTTTGCAGCTATTCCAGTGACGGGGACAACTGCGTTCTTGATGCCAGCAACACTTTGCGCAACGTCAAGAGATGACCTGCCACCTGCACAGGAATTAACAAGCCACATGTCTTCTTTTTGAAGAACTTCTGGTACTTCACTGCTAAGGTCAGATTTCACCATTGACACATTCATCTTTAACCATTCAGCCCTGCGGGGTCCTTCTATTGCGGCTTTCACTCCCGATATTCGTCTGTTTAACAACCAAGTTGACGAATTTTGCAAGATCGTTCCCTCAGTAATATTCGTGAACACGATTTTCTGCACCGATTTTGTGATGCTGATGATGGGTCGTTCCAAAGACTTCTTTGGGTTAGAATTTTTCGAGATTTCAAATACTCGAACCTCCTTGATATTTTGGGCGAACAGTAAAAGGGTTGCCGCACTTTCTTTCAATGACTTTATAAGGTTGTTCACGTTATCTCGGGTGTAAGGTTCATCCGAAATCTCACTTTCTTGCGCTTGTACGGCTGTACGAAAAGGGAGCCGAAACAATGTCCCGTCGAAGTGAAAAGTGCCCGCACCGGTCATGTCGCAGCCAAACAACTGGTTGTAAGGAGAAAATTGGTCTGGAAAAGCCGATAGAGCATGTTTGTGTTCTACCAAGCTTAACATAATTCCACCACTTCTCATCTTGCCGTCGATCAATTTAGAGATGTGACTCATATTTGGATCAAAAACCACCAGGTGTTCGCCACTCAGAAAACTTGGGACATCAGTGAGATGGTAGACTGAGTTGAAGCCAAGACCAAAACGACCCACCTTGTCCGAGTCTTCTTTCTTCGTTTCACCAGCAAGCTTGTTGATGTTTTCAAAATCTTCCTCAGAGAACATAGAGTCGTTATAAGCCCAAAGAGCAGGTCCTTGACATTTAGCTAGTTCTTCAGTGAGCAATTGTTCTCGGGAATTTTCCCGCCAGTCAACGACAAAGTACACTTTGGAAGCGCGAGCGTCATCTGCGTTTTGGATAATTTCCTTAAAAATCGCTACTCCTTCTTTGTACTGCTGTAGAATGTTACGTAACCGTGTTGTCAGTGGCTCATACTGACCAGCTTCTTTGAATTTAATACCAACTGCTTTGGCTCCTGCGAGGCAGCTTGAGAGACGCGGAACTCGAAGACGACCAGCCAAATCATCGGGAATTGCTTTGTGAATTAAATGAGACTTAGTGGAAATCCCATGCTCGGAAACACCTCGTCGTAAGAATTCCCGATCACAGTAGGTACATGTGTTGCATGGTTCAAGTTGCAGCTTATCGGACTTGGTCTGAACGGGAATGAGAAGTTTACAGCGACGTTCTTCAGATAGCTCGCCACCACTTCTCACAATCCACTCTAACACTGCACGACATTGGTCTAAATCTTGCATCACGTCTTCATGCGATCGTTTTTCGTCATCGTGCTTTGCCTTTATATTCCACAGCATATCCAGCAAGTCATCGACTGTAAACTGTGGCTTTACTCCGTGGGATAGTAGAAACTCTTTCACTTTGAATAGTTCGTTTGGAAGACGGAACAAATATGGATGAATGTTGATACTCTTTGGAAAGTGCGACTCCAAAGCAACTTTTTCTGGCGAGGCAAAACCACTTCCTTGCCATATCCACTGGGTTAAACCTTTGGATTGTAACAAATGCTGTACAGTATCTTTGGGTACTCTGGAAAGATACACGTAAACACTCTTAACCATTTCTTCAAATTTCGCAAGGATCAACGGTGTGGTCGTCTGGTTTGTCCAGGAGACAACAGCTAAGTGTAGCTGTTCAACGACTTCTTTAAATACGCTGTGTGTATGAGACATTCCAAGCAAATCTGGAATAAAATAGAAACACTTATTTTTCAGCTCCGTAACTCCAGGTTCGTAACTGAAATACAGCCCTCTTTGGCTGAGTCACTGATTACGAGGTCCGTATGCTAGACTTTGTAACTATTATAATTTTGAAAAGGTACATACATTTGTACTGAAAATATGTTTTCCTCGTCAGTGATTTCTCATTTTTGTCGGGTTTCGTGTCTGCGTGTTTTATTAGTTTTTCCAGTCATACCTTAATCACGTATCACCATTGATCTCAAGCATGGTTCGCAACACTAGAATATTTGAATTCCTCGACCAACCGCATTTTTCATGGAGCAAAATATGTCAAAAAAATACTAATTCACAGCTCGGTTTCAAAAGCGCCCCTCGACCTTCGGTGTCGGGCAACTTGTTAGACATCGTCAAAATATTTTTACAGGTAAGTATAGAACATCATTATATATGTATGTCTCTCGTGAGCAGTAAGTAAACGATTAATTTAAAATATTTTTACACAAATGTTCCTAGGATTGGTTAAATTTCATTTTCTAAAGTTGTAAAATGAACATGCACATTTGAACCAATTTGCATAGGCGCACAAGACATGGTGGCATGCCCCCCCCCCAAAAAAAAAAAAAACCTATAGAAAACCATGGAAATTCGGTAAAATAGCAGGAAAAATCAAGTAAATTCGGGCAGATTTACCAGAAAATGTGTTAAATTCTCCATAAATATTCGGGCAAATTTTCAACTCCCCCCCTGCCTGGAAAGCATCATGGTATGCCTATGCCAATTTGAACAAATTTATACTTCCCTACAAAACATAGTGAACATCGCTATACCTACCTTGTACTTCACGTAAAATCAACCTGTTATTGAAAACAGGTACTGTCGCACCAACTAGGAGTGCCAAAGAATCAGGATGCATGCTGCTCGGTTTACAGAGGTTCATTCCATCATACCACGGCATAAAACCAGGATAGTTTGCAGGACGATCTTGCACTCTTGGTAACCATGGAAACTCACGTAGTACACTACTCAATAACCTTCCATCTGCAGTGTATTCACTCAGTAACTGTGGTCGCTGATTCGTAAGTTCTACAAGAGCCATACCTCTGTCTAAACTTATTTCCGTTGCTGGATTTACAATAAGGAAAACATCTTGAGCGATTAGATTTTCTCTACGTCGAACTTTTAGCTCATCCTTACGTCGTCGTATTGGCTCCAAGAACTGGTTTCTTGGAAAAGCCTCATTGTTGCCTTCTAGCAACCGCATTAAGAGTCTGTCAGAATGATCGAAGAGTTTATTTGGTGCTATACGTTTGCCACTTGCAGTTGGAATACATGCCAGTTCACGGATAAACCCCAAGAATACAGGCATTTCTTGATTTAAGATATCTATTCTTTCCAAAATCCAGAGAATGAGGTTGTCCTTCTCCGCGTCTCTGATCCCAGAATTTAAAAAGTTTTTTAAATGAATCATGATCAAACTAGCTGTGCTTTCGATTCTCATGCCAAGTTTTTCCAGCAAACGATAGCTTTCATCCTTTGAAGAGGACAGGATCTCTGTTCGATCAATAATTCGGATTTCTTCAGGTAAAAAGAATTTTCGTGGCGCAACAAGACGCTGTTTGCCCGGTTCTGTCTCACAGGAAAGAAAATGGCTTCCGTCGACTGCTTCAAAGATTGGTAGCGTACGAATGAATGATACCTGAGCCAAACTAACGCGATCTAGCCTCGACAGAATACAGCACAATTCGTGTTTAACTTCGTTTGATGCAACAGACAGTTGTTGAACTGCTTTATGTTCTGCTACGGAAAGAACGCTGATAATACCAGACGGCGTTGGTAGAGCAATATATTGAAGGATTTGATCGTGCTTCAAAAAGGAAGGTAATTTTTCAAGCACAACACAGCTCGACTTGACCAAAAGTTTACGAACGACGTCGGAAAGTACTTCATTACAAAGTGGGTGTTCGGTGACAATGATGGTGGAGTTTGAACGAAGTCTAACCATAGAGGAGGGTGGATTGATGAAAACGGGAATTAGTGGCATTCTTTCAAACTCGCCAAGGTTACTTGGGTAATTCTCATTGATCCACTTCCATACTAATTCTAACCAGGCCAAAGAAGGATGTTTCTCTATATCTGGATTCCAGGAGACGGTTTCCAGCTGCGGATTGTAGCTGCAGGACCAATCATTAGGGAGATTTTCCCACAATAGTTGCTTGATATCATCAGCCGTAGGGTGGTGTAACTGTGTTGCTCCGGAAGAACCAAGCTCGTACAACTTCTGTTGTACTTGTAGAGGTAGGTCACGATAGAGAAGACGATGCTTCATATTGGGCAAGAGATCGGCACTGTGCTTCTCAGACGGAATGAAAATCTTATCGACGGATGGAAACGAGAACTTTATGAACTGGCGATTTTCTAATGGAAGTAGAGGAACGTCGTGAAGACTAGGAATACTTCCAGGGACATTCTGCAGGGCATACTCCAACACGAACAATCTATCTGGGAAAGCCATTCCCAACTTATGAAAATCAAAACTAGAGCGCAAAACGTTACACAACAGAGCTGGGGTCACTTTCTGAAGGGTTTTCCAACCAGATATCTGATGATATTGATCAATAACTTGTATAACGTGTCGCGGTGGTGAAACAATTGGTTGGCCAGCGCTCAGCAACGTTTTCAGGACAACTCTTTTGATTTCTTCTCTCATGCCTTTGGTCTCGTCCAAGCGATCGATAATGGCTTCCCCAAGGCTGATCCATCGAGATTCCCCCCTAGGAGTTGTCAAGAATATTTTGCTTCCTAAAACTGTTTTGAAAAATGGCTGCAGGATACATTTCCAATCTTCCCTGACATTGCTGTGGACTGGCAAAGCGCTGTATACTAACTTAGCGAGCGACTCTGGCGGGAGATTATTGCTAGAACCTTCTCGCACCATGTTTACGATCAGGTTGGCATAAACCTGACTCCCGACTTTTTCCAAGAGAAGTTGATTCCATTGGGCCGTGTCGTCATTCTGGCAATCGGGACCAGGCCACTTTAAAGCTCGTCTGTTGTCAGTCAATCCAAAATAGCCATTCACTTGAACTGGCATCCCTGTTCGACAGTCACCATCAGGGGGGAGTGGAAGAAAGCAAAAAATCCTCCCTAACGAAGACAAGTTGTTATTAGCATCCACTGGACATGCGATTCCGATCCAAGGTAACAACTTCAAATTCTTAGCCAACTCCACTAGTTTCATCTCATTGGTGCCAACTTGATTTGCTAAGAACCATTCCTTCTTTTCTGAAGGTTTTCCTGGACATTCCTTCTCGATTTCCAAACGGTAAAAAGTTGTTTTCAAGGCAAAATCCCACTCCACTGAGATATCCTGGATCAACTCTTGTCTCCTCTTTCTAACTTCAATCTTTGACTTGTCGGATACTCTGGCTGTATAATGATGAAAAATTTCACCTTGCTCTTCACGTTCGTACAAGCTGACCGAGTCGACGTTTTTGAGAAAGAGGAGAATCGCACTTGACTCATTTTTAAATGAATCAAAAAGGGTATTGACCATTTCTCTCGTGTAGATTTTGGTCGACAAATTTGATGGTTCAGTTCTCAATGGAAACCGAAAGAGTGTCCCACTATAACAGTTTCCCTGGTTAAGATTGCAATCGAATATCTGATGAAACGGCTCAAATTGGTCAAAATGTTCAGCAAGTAAAGAGTCTCCCATAGAAAATGCTTGGCCTGGTTGACCAACGACAAAATATTTCTCGTGTGGGTCTAAAAACGCAACCGTGTTGCCACTCACAATACTTGGTAGGTCTATAGAAATAAAAAACAGCATAGTTCCAGTCATGGAAACAACAGGAAGAAACTAACTACTACCAACAGCAGTAATACGGTCAGAAATTAATTTTTATCGAGTGATAATATTTGTCCCAATCAGGCTCAATCATCTGTTTCATTTAGTGATTGCACTAAAGTAGCCCTTATATTTACTGTGTACTGCCAAATCGCATGCCTGATCGTTTCCCTTACTCACTAATTAAATAGTCAATCTAATATTCGTCTGATCTGATAAATAAACATTAATCCATTGTCAAGATGAACAACACATACAAATTTGTCTGGGTGGACAAATTATACATGTACGCTGATAATTACATGTACGCATGGGCGGATTTATTGGGGGGGGGGGGGCTTAGGGGAGGTTAACCCCCCTAGAATCTCTCTAAGCCCTCTTTATAAAGTGTTCAACCCCACCAAAATTTCACCCCTCCTATTTTGTGTGAAAGTCTTTAGCTCTAACGCCTAACCCTTGCCGAAGCTCGCTCAGTGATGCTGCTTGCACCCCACTAGAAAATTTTCCACTCCTTCTTTAAAAAATGAAAATCCGCCCTTGCATGTACGTTGATAGTTTGCCATTCTCTTTATTGCGTTTATACTGTTATAAAAAAAGAATGATGATCAGACAATCTGTCTTTTCTTTGCCATGTTCGTCTGGATGAGTCACCCGCCTCTGGTAGCCTAGCTGGTGTAAATCGGTCCAATAACATTCATTTGGTAAATCATCCTTTACAGTTTCCTAAAAATTGTAGATTACACTGCAAACTATTACAATTATATACCTGTGATGTGATAAACAGAATTGAATCCAATTCCAAAGCGGCCAACTTTCAACGGATTATTTTCCTTTTTACTTCTCATAAGACGTTGTAATCCTTCCCAGTCCTCCTCCGTGAACTTGGCATTGTTGTAACAGTACAGGGCTGGGCCTTGGAATAAGGCCAACCCCGGGGAAACCAATGAGGCGGTCCCATAAGATGTAGCATCAAAAAGAAACTTGACTTCATTTGCCCCGGCATCATCCGCGTTCTGAATCAATTCCTAGTGAAATTGAGCAATTGAAAATAGCAAAAACCTGTTCGTATTGTTAAAAGTCGACTAGCCCGTTATACTATTCTAAAATATTCAACTTGTAAATATTATTTGTAGGTAAATAAACTAGCCATCAAATTCTCAACTTTGGCAAATTCTTCATCAATTAAGGTGCGAAATTTTTATTCGTACGTAAAAAATCTGTAAAAATAATTAAAAATTTAAAAATAATTAATGACTTCCTCATTAATAATTCATGAGGATAAGCCAAAGATAATCAATGCCATGTCGACATAAAGTTGATAAACTTTAGCTTTGATTTTTTTCAGCTTAGACAACGTTGATTTTTAAAATTACTTTGCCAATTTTAAAAGGCATTTTGCTCACTGAGCCCGCCGGTGCCCACATGACCACACCCACTTGTTGAAAGATTGAAAGATAAAAGTACCTAAACATTACAGACTTTCATTGAAAGACAGAAATTATAATTAGATTAAACCAGGTATTTAGTACGGTGGCCCACAAGTATCACGGCAAATGTTTTTAAAATTACGTTAACATAAAGTTCAAATTGACTGCAAAACAAAATTTATTGAACGGATAATCTTTATATTTACTGCAACAACAATTTAATGTTGATAGCAAAATAAAGAGTCACGGCAAACTAAAAAGTCACGGCAAACTAAAAACTCGCGGCAAAATAAAAACTCACGGCAAAATAAAAACTCACGGCAAAATAAAAACTCACGGCAAAATAAAAACTCACGGCAAATTAAAAACTCACGGCAAAAAAAAAACTCACGGCAAAATATAAACTCACGGCAAAATAAAAACTCACGGCACAATAAAAACTCACGGCAAAATAAAAACTCATGATCACGGCAAAATAAAAACTCACGGCAAAATAAAAACTCACGGCAAAATAAAAACTCACGGCAAAATAAAAACTCACGGCAAAATAAAAACTCACGGCAAAATAAAAAGTCGCGGCAAACTAAAAAGTCACGGCAAACTAAAAACTCGCGGCAAAATAAAAACTCACGGCAAAATAAAAACTCACGGCAAAATAAAAACTCACGGCAAAATAAAAACTCACGGCAAATTAAAATTAAAGCTTAAATTTGAACAAGTGGTTGATAGCTACAAGTACCAATACTAGTTATACTACAATGGCGGACGCCCAACAGGAAGAAAATTTGATCAAAGAATACTTTAGCAAGGGTTTCGAATACAAAGAAATTATCGAGTTTTTGACTAAGAATCATTCTATAAATATGAGCATCGCGACCCTTAAAAGACGCATAAAAGTATATGGCCTTCAAAGGAAAAATGCGGATTACGACATTGATGTTATTACGGAGAAAATCCGAACTATTTTGGATGGACCTGGCTGTATTGCGGGTTACCGACACGTATGGCATACACTTAAGTTACAAGGTATTTCTGTGCCAAGAAGTGTTGTCCAGCACTTAATAAAGCAACTTGATCCCGAAGGGGTAGAACAGAGAAAGGCTCATAAACTTCGGCGAAGAACGTATCACAATCGGGGACCGAACGATGTTTGGCACTGTGATGGATATGATAAGTTGAAACCATTCGGCTTTCCCATTCACGCATGCATTGATGGGTGGAGCCGAAAAATCTTATGGCTATACGTGACACGTTCAAATAATTTACCACAAAATATAGCAGCATATTACCTTGAAACAGTTCGACAACTGAGAGGCTGCCCCATGAAATTGGTGACGGATCTTGGCACCGAGAATCGTATCATGGCTTCATTACAGTC